AATTCAGTTTCCCTGGGGAAAAAAGACTATTGTTGTGCCTTTTGCCATGGCTGCAATCACGTGATGGTGCAAAGCCTCCCATCATGCAGTCCTTCATTGACTTGTATAAAAACAAAACCCTGGTGGCAGGGTAGACCGGGTTACCTGGTTGGGAAGGTTTAATAGTATGTGAGTCTCTGAGGAAATAAGTTGCAAAAAGGGCAGAGCGTTTATGCCATGCTGTTCGGTCCTCGAATAACTTCATCTGGAACTCCAAACTCCAATTCCAATTCCGGTGCAGATTTTGGCATACGTAATTAGGCTGTGGCGACGAGGTTTCACGAACATGCATGATCGCACGAACATTTTATTATTYGCTTTAAATTTGAAATGCTTCATTTAAAACGTAAATACAGGCTAATATTTGATCAAGACCTCTCTCAGAATTGCTTTACCGCATTTCTTGATCTTATAATTTGTCAATATTTTTTCCCGCCACCCGGTAGCTCAGTTGGTAAGAGCATCGGTCTGTTGTGCGGGAGGTCGTGGTTCAAGCCTCGGCCGGACCAACACTCAGGGTCTTCAAATAACTGAGGAGAAGGTGCTGCCTTTGTAATTAAATCTGCAAATGGTTAGACCTTCAAGACTTCTTGAATAAGGACTTAAAACCGTAGGCTCCGTCTCCCAACCCTTCCTAACCTGCAGTAAAAATGGGGGATATAAAAGAACCTGTTGAATTATTCGTTAAGAGTAGGGGATTGTCTCCCGGTTCAACTGCCTATCCCAATCCCAATCTGCCAATAGTGCCTTATAATATGCAGCCCGTAAAGTCCTCCACTGATATTGTAAAGCGCCATCGAGCTCCTGGAAATGGCGCTATATAAATTCATCCTTTACCTTTTTTACATTTAATGAATCGCCATTAGTTCTGAAGAGAATTAAAGGAGATCATAACGCTTCGAAAGACAAAGATGAAACCCTGGAATGTGTGTAGCAAATTATATATTTTTCTTCCTTAATCAAACAGAATCTTAAAATAATTGTTGCTAGTTGTACCTCATGTTCCTTTGTAGTAGACTTTAGAGCCAAAACAGTTAATATAAGTACATAAATATAGGCTATAAGAAAATCTATATTGGCACTTCGTGAATAACGAGTCACGTTGAATGAATTTGTTTACAATCACTTATCGTAAATCTGTTTCTTGAAACCCTGATTCTCCTTACCGATCTTCACTTGTTAATTCGTGCAGACATAGTTAATAGAGGGGAACGGTTAGGAAATCCGGCAAACTTCACGCTTGAGGTTGGAATGGACTGTCACGTGACAATGACCCTGCACAAAGAAAAACAAATATGGCGGACGTGAATGAGATATTTTTGTTGGAGACGATTTTTAAGCTATATTAGGCATTTTGGAGAACGAAAGAAGATTTCGAAGAATAATGCATACAACCATTTGATAGTGTAGGTATTGAATTCGAGTTTGAAYCGCTTTGAATGACGCTAAAAATCGYGTATTTATACGCTAACCTCTCTGTTAACTATGGTACTGCTCGACTAGCTGAATCATAAATAGTTAACCAAAACAATTTATCTCTGCATGAAGTTTGAAAATTCTTAGAAATAATCGCTTAGAATCGTTTAGATGATGGCAGTGGCACCTGGATACCTGGTTGATTTGCTGACACCCTACTCAAGCCAAACAGAGTCCTACGATCTAATACTAACGACCACTTACGTCTATCAAGACCAAAGTTCAGAACTAAGAACTACGGATCTCGCGCTTTTTCCATATGTGCGCCTATATTGTGGAACGATCTGCCGCTATCCATAAGGAACGCTCCATTCTTGCTGTGTATTGACTAAACTTCCACTTATTCGCTGATGATGCATACCTTTTCTACTCGAACAGAAAACTTGATGTCCTTGAGTTTACCCTTAATAATGAACTCATACATATACAAAGCTGGTTACAATTAAATAGACTCTCTTAATTAAATGTCGAAAAATCAAACTTCGTTATTTTCCATCTTCCTCAAAAGAAAATTTCTTTCAAGCTAAGTTGTTGAGTTGTGCAACAACCTCCTCAAACAAGTAACTAATATTAAATATCTAGGGGTCTTCTTTGATGAAAATTTAAACTAGAAGCATCACGTTATAATTCTTATATTGGTAGCAAAATAAAACGTGGTATAGGAATGATTTCTAAACTGCGTCATCTCCTCCCTACAAAAGTACTCGTACTACGTGTATTCGCCTACAAGTGAATATAACTCGCGCACGTTTGTCGATGTTTGCCGCTTGCAGAGATAAATAAAATTTGAAAAGATAAAAAATAATAAAATAGTAAAATAATTGAAAAGACAAAAAATAAATAAATAGAAAAAAAAAAAAACTCTCTCACCGTTAGTTAAAATCACTTGTGTTAGAAAAAAAAATTTTCGCATCTCGGTAAATATTCCCCGATATTCACTTCGCCTTCAGCGAATAATCGTTAAGTGTAAAAAGCTATATTTTCATCCAAGATAAATATTGTCAAGAAAAATAAATTGAATAAACCTGTTTGTTTGTATTATATTTTTATTACGGCAACTTCAGTAAATAACTGTTTATGCCGAAATCCCTTCTATTCGCAAAATAATTCAAAAGGTTTTATTTTAATTATTAAAATAAATGAGGAGAAAGTGCTGCCGTTGTAATTATATCTACAAATGGTTAGACTTTCACGTGGCTCGGATATGACCACTTTAAATGGTGGTCCCGTCTCTCCACACTCATCATTACTAACCAACATAGGAGAGACGTAAAAGAACCACTGAGGAAGTAAAGAAACCCTGGCAGTGACCACCCTCAGCGTCTACAATTCATACTAACCATCTCTCATGCTTGTAAATTGCATAAAAACAATCTGTCATTCACTTCTCAATGTAAAGCGCCTTTGATTATGTTCATATAGAAAAGGCGCTACATAAATTCATAAATCATTATCATTACAAATCCCTATATTTTCTGCTCTGTTCTAAACTTTTGGAGTTCAAAGGTACCGAGCCGAGGGGAAACCCATTGAGTCAACCTTAAATTAAATCGATCAAGGCTAACACAATTCGGTAGGGTAAGACAAAGTATTCTTCTGTGCCCTTTTGCAAAAAAATAAATGATAGATGTTTGAATGAGACGTTTTTAAACTAATTAAAATTAATGATAGTTATGATATATCAGCTTTTTAATTATAAATCAAGCCAAGCTTTCGAGCTTCTTGCTCTTCATCAGGGCAAACGGTTGTGACAATTTTACAAGAAAACACGCAACATAACAATGTGCGCGTGCTCTAAGACTGAACCATCCGGATAAGTCAGCTCTAGCATAGCACGCCATGAAGACTGGCCACAGCATTAACTGGCTTGGTAGTTTTGTAGTTTATAAAGAAGAACGATGGCACCAGAGGAAATGGCTGGAGGCATGGAAGATTGCTAATGAATCACATGCTCTCTTTAATAGAGACAGTGGAAGAACATTGCCTGATAGCTATCGTAGCTT